TACTAAATCGACTCGCGCAACTATCTAATTTTTTAGCGCTGAAATCAGTACTGAAATTAGCATAATGGCAAGCGGACCTTAGTTTTGTCAAAATGATAAACGTTCCAAGGATCACACTCTTCAGCTGTGAAATTTTCTTAGAAATTTATCTGTATGGAACATTCAAAGCATATTTGTCAAGACTCCTAAACTCATTTGTTTTTAATGAAATTCAATAAAAAATTTTAAGAAATACAGTGTATTAATCTTCCACCATATATATTTTGTAGTAATATTACAATATTTGATTACCTACATCTTAAAATAACTAATTAGCATTTAGCGTATCTAGGAAATACGCGCGACCATTCTTGTGGGTACAAAGACCGCGACCTTGGAAAGGTTAAGAACAAGCCGTACACGATGGCTACTAGGAATGTGAATTAACTAAAAAATTTCGTGTTTAATATTTTCTATTTGCCGGTGAAACTAGATGCACTTACCTATAAATGCTGAAGCTGAATTAAAAAACAGTGTTTCGCGTTTAACATTTCAACTTGCCTGTATCTGACAGATATGTAACGAAAATGTGCCTCAAGTAGGATTTCACTCAGCGAAAAAATAACCCTTAAATAACCTATATGTATTAGAATAAATTTAAATTATAAATTTATATTTTTGAATTTGGGTTAGTCCGGGAGAGACGGGCCACTTTTTTTCTCACATAGATTACTTGAAAAATTGACTATAGATAAAGTCACGTTCAGATGGCAGTGTACGGATATAGAATAACAGCGTTGCCAATTCTACTGCCATTGTAAGTTTTGCTACTTTTGTAAAATAAGCAGGGCCAAACTCACGGTAAACTAAGATATGTTTAGGTAAGCTAAAGTTGTTAATAGAAAATTCGTAAATGAAATAAATGGTAATAATTCCAAAAATGCTTTTATACATAATACCGCAGTTAATAGGGAAAAAAATATGAAAAATATTCTACAGGTTTTTTAATATTCTAAACGGTAAATAAGGGATAACTGATGATAATTCCTTGAAGAATTACAGCCAATTTTGCTTTGTTTATTTTTTAAAGAAAGATGAAGTTTGGAAAAAATCATTTTTTTGCCTATTTTGTTCCTCGTGCATTTTAGGGAAAAATGTTTCAAATAAATGTTGCAGATCTTAAAAAGTTTTTTAACTTTTTAGGTTGTAAATTAAAATACATAAACAAATGACTGAGATAATTGCAAAAAACCCCTAATTGAGGCCCCTAGAACACAAGGGTGTAAGTGCAGTTGCTTATCACTTAGCAACTGATATCTAACAACAGGCACGTACTTTTGGCTTCAAACTTTCTACATTAACAACAATAACACCATCAAAAATTACATGTCATTGAAAACATGCTGAAAACTGAAAAAGTGCTACCTAGGTTTTTAAATTTATATCGAACTTTGAACAAAGATTTTTAAAAACTTTGTTTTCGGCGAAAAAATTCTTTATTTCCCGGAGATAGTGACGCCTCCAAGCCTATTTCTTGTTTTTCTATTAATATTGAATTTCTACCTTGTTTGCCATATATAAAACCCATGTCGTGCAATAGTCTTCTCAACGTACTTTTGGAAAAATTCGGAAGATGCTCCATTTGCTTAATTTTTTCTAGTACTACGTCAAGGGTTGGACGAATATTGTCCATAAAAAAACCATGCACTACTTGTCTTATTCTAGACCGAGTTGCTTCATCATATCTATTCTCACGACTATTCAAATAACCGGTTCTTTTTTTCCTTATAGGAGTTATGAGTGGACCATTTTTACTTTCACTTCTATATCGGAATATCGTTCGCTCAGAGACTCCAGTCATAGCAGAAACTTCCCGCACTATTGTTGATATACTTTTATCATTATTACTGTTTGATAAATAGTTAAAAACATTTAACACTATTTTTTTGCATTCACTATTTAACAAATTACCGTTTTTGAATTTTATTACACTCGCGGCCATTTTGACACTGACACGACACAAACGTCTGATATCAACTGAAAATTCTTTTAGTGACTCTCAAGTATTTACCTGAATTTATAATTGCTGGCATTAGACAATAATTTTGAATTTATAAATAGGTATATTTTTTTAATTCTAAATTATTTTTTAATGTCTGTAACTGTAAATGCAGGTAGAGAAAGTGTGTCATTAAAAGGACATTAAGATCAAAAACGGATTATACAAATAATTATTTCATTTCCACGAATTGTAAACAATTTTGAACAGAAGATATAATTCCGAAAAGACCAGATTTCCGAAATATAACTTTCTATTTTTAAAATACCAACAGAAAAATTATATAATTAAAAAAATGTAGTATTTTTCCGTTTCACATTCATAAATATTTCCGAAATTATAATTCTTTTATAGGAGCCGGCCCATAACGTACGATTGTAGGTACGATTAAAAACTGACAACAATGTAGTTATTTCTGGCATATAGAAAGTACAGGCCTATCTCTGTAACGCTGCCATCTGAATGTGAATTTATCTATAGTGTATGATACGATTTTTGAAAAATAATACTTACTATAGTTTATATATTTATTGTGCAAAATAAAAAATATTATGTAACTTGACGAATATAAAAGTTATAGAAATTAACAGAAATACTTCTTATTGGCCCATCTATACCAATACGTAGGTACAGATGGGCCATTGCTATTGGTAGAGTTGGACTAATTTGAAACACATAAAATAATGATGTTAACCTATTTCTTTTTACTAGCAATTTTTCCACACGAATTACAAACATTTTCAAATTTTGTACAGTTGTCATAGCACCAGTTTTTGAAAATCAAACATTGAACCCAGTCATATTTTCTGGATGTTTTGCTGTAATCTTCACCACAACCAATGCATTTTCATTATATTGTTTTTCGTCTTTGCTGTCATCTAAAACTGGCACATCTGCATTCATATCATCATCAGACGAATCTGACTCATGCTGTTGACATTGATGTCTTTTGTTTGGCTGCTTTGGAACTGTCTTCTTTTTTTGTTCTTGTTTCTCTTTTTTTTTTCTTGAATTTTGTGTGCAGAATTAAGAATTTCCTCCACTCTTCTTGCTCGGTCTCTTACATTCTTTTTTGCAGCATCAATTTTAGGTACAGGCGATAACGTGTCCAATACTTTTTCAGGTGTTACATTTGAGTCTTCAATATTAGACGTACCAGCTGCAGTTTCTTCATCAACGACTAGAGTAATGCCTACACGTGAAGGACCTGGTTGATCTAAAATATTTAGATCTATTTTTCTATTACTTTGTTCTTCTACTACAGCTGAGAAACTCTCATTTGTGGACAAAAAAGCATGCTCTGGAATTTTATCGGGATCAAACGGTACAATTCCTGTGGCAACAAATCCAGATGTTCCATTTTTCATCGTTGCTGGGATTTTTCATGCATTTCTTAAAAACTCACCAAATTGGTAACGTGTAATTTTTCTTGTTGGGTTATTTCTGATATAGTTTTGACATCTCGAGTAAAAATTAGCCTTTAAAGGTTTAAAAAAGCTCGGTCCAATGGCTGCAGAAAATGCGTGGTATGCCTGGGTAAGCATGTCGTTGCATTGTGGTTGTGTTGCATGTGTTGTATGACAACATTATGATAATTTTGTTGTTTTCGGCGCATTCTAATACTTAAAGTGCTGCTGGGACGTATGCCTATCTAATATCAGCAAAACTTTGCCTTGAGGCTTTCGAGGAATAAATAGGTTTTTTAGCCAATGTAAAAAAATATCTGCATTTACGTAGGCCGATTTTTCGGATATTACAAACATTGCTCCAGGTGGCAGTCCATCCGTGTATTCTACTTTTCTATTTTTTCCTTTAAAAATAGAATACGGAGGTAAAAATTCTCCCTCAGCATTGCAGCAGCTTATCACATAAATCGTTTCTCCTTTCTCTCCTGATGTAATAACAGGGACATTCTTAGATTCTTTAGACGCGAGTACATGTCCAGGCCTGTTATTTAACTGCAAATCTGTCTTGTCTACGTTGAAAATATGCCCCGGCTTATTTATTACTTGACTATTGGTTAAAATACTTTGCAGCAGATGGAAGTACTGTTTAACTACCTCCTAGTTTAATCCTTTTGCCCTGTCCAAAGAAACTCCTTCACCTTTTCGCACTGATATGTCTGGATGGCGCAGTAAAAAAGAATACAACCAGTCAAAACCAGCTTTATTGTTGTTTCTATTGATTTGTGACTTATTCCATAAGCTAATGCAGCCCGATTTAGTCTCATGCGTTTTTCTCTGATAGCTGCAACCACATTTTGTAGTGCTTTTTCGCTCCATGTACCTTTCAACACTTTGTTGTACTTTCAACAGTAGATTTCCGCTTATAGTATGAAGGCATACTGTAACCTATAACAATATAGAAATTAATTAATAATACTTATTATTAAAAAAAATCTTAAATAATACAAATCCAATATTTATCATTAGCCCGTATATCCTAAAGGTTCGGTAGAGACGGGCCACGCCATCGAACACACAATTTAAATTTTATGAAGTTATTTTAGGTTAGGTTCAGTTGTTTAATCTCAATATAACAGTTAAATAGATAAATAATCAAAAAAACTTTCCTTTTGTCAAAACTTACACAACTTGAAAATTCACCAAGGAAAAATTTCATCTACAACATATAACTAAGTAAAAAAATCTCCGTTGTTTATGCATACACGTCGCAATCACCACGTTCACAAGGTCTGTCGGCCTTAATGCTATAAATCGACGCTGTCGCATTGCACAGTAAACAAAGGATCTAAAATATGACGAATGGCTCGTCTATACCGATGATCTCTCCCGGACTTACCCTATGATTGGAATCCAAACTCAAGCTAATTAAACCCAATTGAAAATATTCACTAGCTTTGTTTTTTTTTGTATTATTATTTTTGTATAATTATAAGTTTTTCTTTTATTCTATTCTTTTTACTAGTTGTACAAGTGTGTGTTTCATTTATATGTTTCAGACTATGCAGACTCAAGATGTACCAACACAAAAAGCGTTGGGAGAATATCCCAAAGGCCAAGTCGCAAATCTAGGTACTGACTATGAATGGAAACTGCATTGCCTATTTGCAGTAGCTGCATTCAAATATTTTGACAACTGGAGCTTGGCAAATGAATATATCGACGCTGGAAAATTCGATGATTTGGTATTTAGAGTTGATAATGAGTGCATATTACTACAGGCAAAATTTAAGCAAAACAAACAAATTCATAATCATGAGTTCTGGTCAACTAATCCAGGATGTGATACTTTTAGTATTTACAAATATATTCTATCATATCATGACATAAAATGGAAGTTTAAAAAGCTCAACACGATTGCTATAATACTATGTACCAATGCCAATATACCAGATAGCATATTTTACCCTAATAAAAATTCTGAAAATAATATAATAAATAAAATATTTGGGGATGATGTAGTAGTGGGTAGTATTAAAAATGAATTATCTGCGGATATTAATAAAGTTGTAACTTATCAAGAAAATATTACCAACAAAGATAATGAAGAGAAATGTAGATGGAAAAGTTTATCTCTAAATAATAATGATATTAAAGATTTTATGTCCAAATTTCTAGTCATCAAAGTAAGTAAAGAACAAATTGATAAACGGATTTCTGATCTCATTACGAGCATGGAGAAAAAAAACCCTGCGTTGAAAAATTTGTATATAATAAATCATGTTCATCACTGGCGCAACTTGGTCTCTAAACATTCCGTTTATATGACGAAAAATTATATGAGACTTATTTGGTATAGAGAGGAAAATGATAGATGTATTCAACAGTTTTTAAATTACGGAATCTCTTTTTCAAATCCCTATCAATTTTCACATTCTATTAATTTAATCAAAGCTGAACACGATTTGGATTTATATTTAGCTAAAATAGTTCACAGTATAAAATTGATTTATACAAAACAAGACAAGCCCAATGAAATGTTCTTTAAAGAAGTACTATTTTTAGCTTTACAGAGTGATTACAAAACGATTGAAAATACTATTGAATGTTTTAAAACAAAAAACATGAAATATTTAGTTGTTTCCTTTCTGGAAATGAACGAGTATCAAACTAAAGAAATATATACAAAAATATCAAGAATATTAGATACTAATAAGCAAAAGAAGGTCATTATTGTTGCACAAAACTTTGGGTTTCAAGATAAAAATGTTGAAACCGATCAAATCCGCTTAAATCTATTCGATGAATATACAAAAGAATTAGTATGTAATAAGACTATTGAGTTTCAAGGTGAAGCAATAACATTAAAACATCTGTTAAAGAATTGTAAGGTGGTAAATTTAACGAAAGGTTGTAAGTCGTTAGATATGATGGATAAATCTTACCTTTGTTCGTTGGTTAAATCTACAGGAGAACCATTTGATTTGAACATAGATTCGTACAAAGAATTAGTAGAATCTATAAAAAATAAGTTATCGCATGATGACTCAGACTTGGAAAGTCCAACAATTTTAGAATTCCAAGGTCGGCAGATTATACTAGATGATATAGTAACAATTTGTAAGATAGAATATCTAATTGACGAATTATTTATTTTGAAATTAATTAAAGAGGAAAATTTTTATTTGGGAAAATCTTCAATGCCGTCAATAACATTAGAAAAATATTATGTGCCTCGATTTTTAAGCAAGGATTTTCAGAATTTATTTTCTGAAGAACTCTTTCTCAGTCAACTAAGAACGGTTAATAAAAAAGTAGCTGTACTTACTGGCCCTCCAGGGGTTGGCAAAACAACTCTTTTAGAAAATATAATATTATCGAGAAAGTTGAAAGATAAGATTTCTTTCCGACTGACGTGGATAATAAATATAGAATTATCAAGAGCAGTAGAGTATTTACAAAATAAAAGTTTAAACCACTGCCTTTTTGGTTTGTTATGCTATAATGAAGATACTAGAGGTAATTTCGAAATTCAGGCTTTAAAATCTATAGAGAAGATTATAGTAATCGATGGAATAGACGAAAATAATTCAGACTACATTCATCAAGTGCAAGATTTGTTTAACGATTACTCAATTTTGGAGAACCTGAACATTTTATTAGTGATAATGGCCTGCAGGAACTACGATTTTATCTTAAAAAAAATTCGAAATTCTCTTAACCTAGAAACAATTATGGTAGAGCTGTTTAATGAACAAGATCAAGAGATTTTTTTTGAAAAGTACGTTTTATTTAAAAATTCAACTAGCGTACAGAAAACAAAAGATGTCTTTCGCCATTTAAAAGCAGAAGCACCTGGAATTAAAAAATTTTGTTCAACTCCATTTACGTTACGGTTATTAATCGATATATTACTAAACAACGAGGATCACCTAGAACATATATCCAAAATATTTTCTAAATCATTAAGCGTGTATGAATTTTATAAGCTTTTTTTGGAAGAGAAGAAAAAAACTTTTGTCCAACAACATATAGGTGACCATTGTGTCGTGAACCGTATTATTATAACAGATGCTTTTGGTACTTACTTAACAAAAACAAGGAAGTTTGCTGCTAGCAAAAGCCTTCCACGAGAATTACAAGAACTTTTCAATACTGATATATCCCCCTGTATAGATACATCGATGCTTTCAATTGGGATATTCGAAGAAAAGAACGAAGAATTTAAATTTATTCACACAAGTTTCGAAGAATACTTCGCTGCCGAATATATTTGGAATTGTCTCAGTCATAAACGTATTAGCGACTCTGTCCTCTTAACTCTTCTTAACAAAGTTTTCCTTAATATACAGTATGCTGGTGTATCTGGATTCTTTGAAGAACTCCTCAACACCAAAATATTAGTCGAGGATAAATGTTTCAGTAAGATTAGTGAGGAGTTTGGTCGGATACTTAGTAAACAAAAATGGGTGGAAAGTATATCACTTTTAGTTTTTCAAGGCTATTTTAATATTGTCAAATTTGTATTTCACGAATACGATGGTTTTTCCAAAGTTATTAATCATAGGGGTTCTTCTGGTGAAACTGCATTGCACCTATCTGCTCACTATCCACATTTTGTCAAGTACTTAGTAAAAAAAGGTGCTGAAATAAACGGCGTTGATGAGGATGGATTTAGCGTTTTTCATTACATGATAATGATGTGCTTCGACTCATACAAAATATATTTTAATATGATCTTTGAGAAAATGAAATATCGGGGGAATTTTGAAACAGTAACGTTTTTTGAGGAGTATTCGAAATTATTACGGAGGGATCTGCTAAACGGTATTCAGTATAAGGTAGAATATGATATTATTCTAGATTTGATTGATTACTTAAAAGATCATGGACTGTATTTAAGCGCTAAAGATAAATATGAAGATACACCCGTTCATTGGGCTGCACAAGCAGGTCTTCCTACTTTACTTAAAATACTAATAGAAAAATATGAGCTGGAATATACGAGTGTTAATGATAAAGGAAATATACCGCTTCATTATGCTTGTCGAATGGGCTCTCTTGATATACTTGAATACTTCGAACAACGCGAATTACTTTGTGTGAGTAGTTCTTCACTTTTGTTTTTAAATGAACCACCAAAAACAGTCAAAATAATAAATGATTTGGACCAACAGAATGAAAGCTTATTATTTAAAAATAAATATTTAAATTTAAGTACTGTTAACACAGACAAAGAAAGTCTTATACACAAAGCTGCTACAGGTAATGCTGTGAATGTATTAAAATTTCTGATTAATAAATATAAATTAAATCCAAATCTAGTTGACAAATATGGATACACACCTCTTCATGAAGCAGCTTCTAATAATTCTCTCGAAGCTTTCAAATATTTATTAGGGACTAAGCAATTGGACGTTAACCATCGTAACGTGAAAGGTAACACTGTTTTACACAGCGCAGCATATGGAAATGCTATAAAAATAATCCAGTACCTATATTCACAAGATGAATACAAATATCTCTTTGAACAAAAGAATAACGATGGTGACACAATCCTCCACAGTGCAGCAAGGGGAGATGCTGCAGATGCTTTAAAATTTTTAATATTGACTTGTAAATTACCTTGTGATGCTCCTGACAAATACGGCAATACTCCTGCCCATGATGCAGCTAATCACAATTCTCTTAATGCCCTTATAGTTTTGGAAAACAACAGAGTAAACTTAGCTGCTAAAAATAAGACAGGTGTTAGTTTATTACACAGCTCGGCTTCGAGCAATGCAATAGATGTAATTAAATATTTAACTTCTAGACTTAATAGAAATACTTGTTTAGAAACAAAGCTAAATCTGGTTGATAATTATGGAAATACACCTTTGCATTTAGCAGCTGCAAACGATGCATTAGAATCTTTTAAGCATTTGTTAATTCATACCAAACTTGATGTTAATCAATGCAACGAATATGGTGAGTCTGTTTTTCATATGGCAGCGCATTATAATTCTATGAAAGTTCTTAAGTTTCTTATAGATGACTATAAACTAAGCCCAAAGTTAGTCGATGAATTTGGTAATTCACCTCTTCATTTTGCGGCAGATAATGACTCACTAGAAGCATTCAAATATTTACTTCAGTCTAAGAAAATTGATGTTAATGATTGCAACAATACAGGTGATACCGTACTTCACGAAGCTGCATACAGAAATGCAACAAAAATAATTGAATACTTACACTTAGAACCTGCCTATGCACATTTATTTAATATTAAGAATAAAATGAAACAAACGGCCTTGCATGAAGCTAGTAAAGGAAATTCTGTACAAGCTTTAGCCTTCTTAGTCAATAATTATCAGTACCTCATTAATATTGCAGATGAAAATGGCAATACTCCTCTTCATGAAGCAGCTTTCAGTGATTCATTAGAAAGTGTTAAATATTTATTACAATGCACAAAATTGGATATTAAGACATGTAATCAAAAAGGTGAAACTGTTTTACATAAAGCTGCTGCTTGTGAAAATTCTATAGAAGTGCTTAAGTATCTAATTGATGAGTGTAATATGAGTCCAACTCTAGTTGATATGCATGGAGATACGCCACTTCATGTTGCAGCCTTTAACAACTCACTTGAAGCTTTCTCCTTTCTGTTAAAGACTGAAAAAATAAATATTAACGATTGTAATGATAAAAGTGATACCGTTTTACATAAAGCTGTACGTGGTAAAGCCTTAAAAATAATTGAATTTATATTTACAAGTTTTATGCAATGATCTACCAGAGGAAATAATAGGCCACAAATAAGGATGTAATGCCTAGCTAATTGGCTCGACCAAGTACATCAAACTCCAAAAAAAAAATAATAAAGCTGTATTATGTATATAGTATACCAATGTATATAGTCTATATTGTTGAATCCACCGAATGTAACAAGAAATTCTGCTGTTGCTTCTTGGATTTGAAAAAGATATTTGACAGACATTCTGATGACATAGTTAAATGGGAGAGACAACGACGTCGTTTCTGTTGTTATCATGTAAAAAATGGCTACTAATAAGTTGGTGAGAGCAGTTCTTGACTAGCGTTGTCCATTATAAAAACGTCCCAAAACGTGAAGATATAACTTGCAATATACAACGCACGAATGCATACTCCATCTAATAAACAGGTCTTAGGCTTAATCAAAATAAGGAAGAAGGTATTGTTAAATCAATTTTGAAATTTTCCTAGTCACAGCAATCAATTTTAAATTATTTTACTCATGTACTTCATCTCTTTAGTATCCCTCTTCTTTATGTCTAAAATTACTGGAATATATTCTGAGTTACATACTTTACTACACACGATTTAAAATTAATTATTATGTTTCTGATATACACTTATGGACAAAAATATCAAATATTTTGGAATTTTCCAATTTGTTTTAGTCACTATATTACTGATGACACTCATATAGTAGACTGATGTACTCAACTGGTTTGGAACATTTTGACGTTTACTCAGCGTTTAGTGTCATTCGTACATTTTATCATAAAAACCTTTATGTATAGGAAAAATCATACTAATTCGGTTACTTTTAGTTTAATTTATTGAGTTTAATTAAATATTGTTTTGATATAACTATAGTGTATTTTTATGTATGAGAGAGTAATAAAACAATAAATTGTGTATGCAAATCCCTAAACTGTTGATACGGGTGACTCAACGAAAAACAGATATTTGTCAACAAGTTTACAGAAGTATATAGGAAAACAATTTTAAATTGAGTATGACCACCAGGTATAAAGGTTGGAGCAGAATAGAATACAATAGTTGTGAGGGTTACTAATCCCTAAATAAGGTTGCCAGTGTCGGAGTGATGGAGATTAACAGGTACTAATGAATTTGCAAGAAATGTAAGATGTTTATTTTATTGGTTATATATAACCAATAAAAGTTTAATAAGTACGTACCTATTTGCAAAATAAAGCTTAATTCTTTAGATAAAATAAAACGTTTTATTTTATCTGAAATGAGTGCATTCCACGAAGTAAGGGTTTCAACAATCAAACATTCAATTCTTTAATTCCAGGAATCTACGACAGTAATTGACTAGATAATTACCTTCTAAACTTATTCCACAGAAAATGTGATAGTGGGTTTTTCCATTTTGTAGGAAGGTCCAAGTGGCGTATTCAAAATTCTTAACAGTTCACTAAAAGTAGGTACTTCAGTTGCAAGGTGCAGTTTATTGTGTATACTATAGTGTATTTTTATGTATGAGAGAGTAATAAAACAATAAATTATGTATGCAAATCCCTAAACTGTTGATACGGGTGACTCAATGAAAAACAGATATTTGTCAACAAGTTTACAGAAGTATATAGGAAAACAATTTTAAATTGAGTATGACCACCAGGTATAAAGGTTGGAGCAGAATAGAATACAATAGTTGTGAGGGTTACTAATCCCTAAATAAGGTTGCCAGTGTCGGAGTGATGGAGGTTAACAGGTACTAATGAATTTGCAAGAAATGTAAGATGTTTATTTTATTGGTTATATATAACAAATAAAAGTTTAATAAGTACCTACCTATTTGCAAAATAAGGTTTAATTCTTTAGATAAAATAAAACGTTTTATTTTATCTGAAATGAGTGCATTCCACGAAGTAAGGGTTTCAACAATCAAACATTTAATTCTTTAATTCCAGGAATCTACGACAGTAATTGACTAGATAATTACCTTCTAAACTTATTCCACAGAAAATGTGATAGTGGGTCTTTCCATTTTGTAGGAAGGTCCAAGTGGCGTATTCAAAATTCTTAACAGTTCACTAAAAGTAGGTACTTCAGTTGCAAGGTGCAGTTTATTGTGTATACTAGTGTTATGGAAAATTTGGAAGTGCCGTGTAAACACCGAAAAATTGGTCCTTTAACAGTTAATGAAAAAACATTAATATTTAATTGTTTTAAATCATTTACAGACAAACGTTTATGTGAAAGTGTTGATGAGACCGTTGAGTTAGTTAGCAGTACACTTGGTTTTGGGAAATCTACGATTTACAGAGTTATTAAAGAAGAGAAATGTGGTAGTTTTCAAATGCCACGTAATGCTCCAGGGAAACCAAAATTTCAAATAGAATATCATTTTAAAGAAGGACTTCGACGGAAAGTGCATGAATTTTTCTTTAGACAAGAATTTTCAACATTGGATAAAGTTCTTGTCTCAGTTCGAGATGATAAGGATTACCCAGAAATGAGTCGAAATACCTTATGGAAACTTTTAAAAGAAATAGGCTTCCGCTGGAAAAAGAATCCCATAAAGTCTATTTTATTAGAAAGAAGCGATATTGTCATATGGAGAAGACATTTTCTAAGAACCATAAAGGAAATGAGAAACCAAAAAAGAAAAATATTTTATCTTGATGAAACATGGATCAACGAGGGTCATACACCAAATAAATTTTGGCAGGATGAAACTGTTACAAGTCTAAGGCACGCTTTTGTAAATAACTTATCTACTGGTTTAAACCCACCATCAGGAAAGGGACGCAGGCTGATAATAGTACACATTGGCAGTTCAGACGGTTTTGTTGAAGGTGGTTTATTAACTTTTGAATCAACTCGTACCGGTGACTAGCATGAAGACATGAACGCTGATGTCTTTCAAGAATGGTTCGAACAAATGATAGATCTTCTTCCTAAGAACTGTGTAATAGTAATGGATAATGCAAGTTATCACTCCAGACTTATAGAAGGACTGCCCACAACCAAGTGGTTAAAAAAAGACTTGCTGAATTGGCTTAGTTCAAAAAATATTACGTACCATCCCGGATCTATAAGACAGGAACTTTATTCGTTGTGTTCCCCTCATAAAGAAAAATTTAAAAAATACGAAATTGATGAAATTGCCAAAAATCGTGGAATGACAGTACTTAGATCCCCACCATATCATTGTGAATTAAACCCGATTGAACTGGTATGGGCACAGATAAAGAGTGAAGTTTCAAGAAAAAATACCACTTTAAAAATTCATGATGTTAAACAGTTGTTTTTGGAGGCCGTAAATAATGTAAAACCTAAAAACTGGAAAAAGGCAGTAAATCACACTATTAAAGACTTTGTAACAAGTAGCTGTAAGTTTTATATTAATATTTTTATTCATCTATTTAACATACCTTAGACGGTTTTAAAAACTCTTTTTCTCTTTTGTAATTTTTAAAAATAAAAAAAAATGTGAATTTTTTAAAACCCCTTTTTAATGTAGGCCAGTCAGTTCTAATATAGTGTGTGATAAAAGAGGTCACTTTTGTTTACACAACACTTTATAACACTGAAATAATTCATTCATTTTTTACAATTATTCAAAGTAATATTTCAATTAATCTTGAGCACGCCCATGGAGTGGTCGGAGGTACCAGTTAAAATTATGCTAATTACTCTCTCGTTCATAAAAATAAACTATAAGTTAAAACAAGTATGCCACCAATTTATACTGCGATGAAGCCCAAGTAGCATAGATGGTAATTTTTTGTACGAGGAAGGATATGCACAAAAAGATATCGAACGACGCCGATGTCTTAGGAGAAGTCAATCTAGTTTCGAGTACTTTAAAAAGGTACCGCAAAACAGGAAGTTTCTTACGAAGGCATGATCAAGGACACCCAAGGTATACAGCCGCACTTGATGACCGTTTTTTGGTTTTTATTTCTACGCTAAATCGTTCATTGATATCGATATACCTCAGAAATTACGTATTAAATGTTAGACAAGTTAACTTAAATTCAGAAACAGTAAGACGAAGAATAAAAATAGCAAACTAAAAGCCCAGACGCCACAGTTCCACATCATCTTCAAAATCATAAATCTCGTTGTTTAGGATTTGCAAGAACACATATTCAGTTCAATATCGACAACTGGAAAAATGTTATTTTCACTGATAAGACCAGAATTCTATATTCTGGAAGCTAGGTTGTCAAAACCACGTGTACCAAGAGTTGGAGAATGATTCGCCAGCTGCAATCTTGCCCAGACCGTTAGTTTTGGAGGTAGTGGCATAATTTTTTGGAAAGGTATTAGTTGGGACTGAAAACATTCCTTAAAAGAGAAATTCCACAAGAGCAAACTGGATTTACCAAAGGTAGAGGCACTCGAGAACACCTGCTGAATATAAGACAGATAATGGAGAAATCTAGGGAGTTCAACATTCCACTATACATCTGTTTTATAGATTACCGTAAAGCGTTCAACAGGGTCAAGTGGAGACACTTATGGCGAATACTAAAAGAAGTAGGCGTACCATAACATCTAATTACGCTTATAACTGAACTATATGAACACACTACTGGATCAGTTAAAGTACTTGACACACTTTCGAACGAGTTTCATCCAGAACGGGGTGTCAGACAAGGATGTATACTATCTCCACAATTATTCAACATATATGGAGAGTATATTATGCGAAGAGCACTTGAAGGATGGGAAAAGGGCATCTCAATAAATGGTCATAAACTAAACAACCTACGTTTTGCAGATGACACAGCCCTTCTTGCAAATAGTCAAGCAGAGCTGATGGAACTTATACGACTGATCGAAAACGAAAGTTAAATATTTGGTCTGCAATTAAACATATCAAAGACAAAGATCATGATAGTGGATAGACTACACAACAATCATCCACACATAACCACAATTGACCGGTTCGAGCTTGTGAGCTCATACTTATATCTGGAATCAT